TATATGTTGTATAATAATAATTTATTATATTATACTATATTACATTTGATAATTATTTAACGTATAGTGTCGATTATATTCAACATCCAATAAATATTAGGACTAAATTAATTAACGATATCTGCAATAACGATACGCGTATTAATAAATACCGCACTATTGACTAGAACACAAAACAAGAATTATGGAAACGATGATCCATTTATTAGTGTCGTATTGATGATTAGTTCGGATATCACGAAAGAATAAACTAAAATGATTATTATAAATAGAGATTTAAATAGAATATAATAATAAAAAATATAATACAAAAGAAGAGAGAAAAATCGTAAAAATAAATCATTTACAATTAATAAGCCTCAAAGGAGTGTGACGATAAGTAATAAAAGGGTTCAATAGGAAATATAAGAAATTTCGTAATATCTTACAATAAAGAATTTGCTAAAAGTTCGCTTCGAAAATCGAGTGAAAATAGTAGGGGGGGGGAGGGGATTAACGGAGGATGAGATAGTAAAACAGGACACGTACAACGATGAAAGGAGAGGAAAAAAAGAAAAGAAAAGAAAAGTAAAGGGAAGAAAAGAAATGTAGGATAGGAATAAAGAGAGAAAGAGAGAGAAAGTAAGAAAGAAGGAAAGAAAGAGGAAGTTGAACGAAAATTAAAACTCAAAGGAGCTCGTAACACGCATACCATCTCTCTCTCTCTCTCTCTCTCTCTCTTTGGATAAAACGCTCGAGACTTGCCGGATGAGAAAAATTTTCTTTGAAAATCCGAATAAGAAAGGGAATCATCTTTTCGGTACGTTCCTATGAAAGAATAAAAACGAAAAAAGATTCTCACAATATAAGAGAGTAATATTATATATATATATATACATACGTACATATATATATACACATACGTAGATACACACAAACCTGGATACAAAGTGTCTATACCTTGGTGCTTAGCAAACCTTAATAGTCCTGGGACGTAGCTATTGCCGGAGGGAGATTGGATGGAATTAGATTAGATCAGAGCTCATTACGTTTCCTCGGAAGAATGAATTAAGAGTAGTGGGGAGTTGAAATGAACTGTAAGGTTAAGGGAACCAATGGTTTCCACCTATGGTACGTTAGAACTTTTATAATACTACCTTTTATTCCACGAAAGATGTATTCAATAATAATTATATGCTATCGTTTC